CACCAGCTCAGTTTAGTTCCAGCTGTCTAAGTGGATACATATCTGCATTTTTATGAGATGGCATCAAGAGGCTGCAAGCATCCGGCAGACGCATTTTGCTATGTCGGCGGCCAATTTATCAAGACAAGAGCGAAAAAGTAATCTGTGGAAGCATCTGCTAAGATGTGTGAGGCCTACAAGGCATATTTCGGCATGCCTGTCGGGGATCAAGACAAACCCTGGCCACCTCATTTCACCTGTGAGCAATGCAAAACAACTCTGAATGGTAAGATGGACAATTCTTACTTGGAATTTTATGTTATAAAATTTGTTGACATTTAATTAAAAAAAGTTTTTAATTTTCAAATGTTTTACAGTTTTCAATGTTATTGAAAAATTATATCATAAATGAAAAATGTTGCAAGAATCTCTTACACATTAGTCATGGGTGAAATAAATGTATTTTTGTAGGATGGTACAGAGGAGAAAAGAGAGCCATGAAGTTCGCTATCCTAAGAATTTGGCGGGAACCCACTGACCACTGAAGCAACTGCTACTTCTGCATGGTGGACCCCTCCAAACGTCGGACTGGCAAGAACGCACCCGCTATCACGTATCCGGACCTTCCTTCATCCATCGCCCCGGTGCCACACTGCGATGAGCTCCCCATACCCACTCCTCCGGAAAGAGGATCCGTCTTTAGAAGAGAGCAGCAAGTCAGAGAGCGAGGAAGCTGTAGATTCCACCAGTATATACTGGACTTTGAACGCCGCTACCAAGGACAGTATAATGAGAACATGATGGGAGACTACATTTGGGGGCTGATTGGTGAAAGTGATTTACAGTATAATCGTAAATCTCGAAAAACTACTGACTTCTAAATCTTTTGTAGTCATTTTTGCATTACTTTAGTATAAATACATGTTCATTTTGATTCATATGTTGTTGTTTTCTGACTTTACGTGAACGAAAATACACAAATTTGCCATTTTTCTCTTTGAAAATAAGTAAATTTCAAAATATAACTGTCCTAGCTACAAAAGCAAAGTTTGTGGGGATTAATAGCCTATTTCTATACTTTTTAGGCATAAGCAATTACGAAATAACACTTACTACCCAGGAACAAAAATTGCGTTACATAGTGTTATCAGAGAATGCGTTCCGAACGCTTGTCAAGACCATCGGTCATATATACATCAAGATGGATTCTGGCTTAGCAATCATTGGAAGGATTTGATAACCATTTCAGGTATTAATTGATTGATCACGCTTAAGGTGGTTTTCAGACCGCATCCATTATTTTTCGTCTCCCCCCTCCTCTTTTCCGAACATAGATGGACTCGTCCATCTGAACAAACTGTCAAATCGCTATCCGTGATGCTAAAGTTAAAAAACCGCCACTTTTTTCAAAATTTTCTTCTTGTGGTTTTCACACCTGATGATGATTGTTTGTGTTGCAGTCGAAACGTCGTGAGAATTTTCTTGTTTTAAATTTTTATTTTTAATTTTTTTATTGTTTCCCTTCTACGTGACTTTTACCGAAAGAACCAAGAAAATGTATACATCAGTTTATTAAAATAACTGATAGCATCGAGAGAGCCAGTCACCAAAATGATCAGAAAGCGACACCCACCTTGCACAACATTCTTATCCGAGAGTTCATGGGACAGCTGTGTCACCGATCTAGCACCGAGGCATCGAATAAACTGTGGTGTCTTTTCTTTGCCAAGGCCTTCGTTTTCAACTCTGAACGAATACTCATGTGTACATCGCTATTTTGGCTGACGTTTGGATACTACCTCACTGTAGTAGACGTCGCGAGAGCTGAAATAGCTACCATTCTTAAGAATGCTAAGAAACCCGTTAGCAACATCAGCAAAGATGAACGCTTTGAACTCGCGAAATTAAAAGAGAGACATGATATAGTCATCCTCTCAGCCGACAAGGGCAATGCTACTGTAATTATGGATAAAAACTCATGCAACAATAAAATTCAGGACGTACTCAATGATGGTAGTTACTCAAAAATAAAAAATTACCCTACTAATAGCCTAACTATAAAAACCAACAAGATCATCACAAGTTCGACCTCCCTAATCGAACCAACTAAACGTCCCTCCCTAAAACCTTCTGCTGCAAGACCACCTAGATTCTATGGTCTTCCAAAGATTCATAAGGAAGGCACTCCACTACGACCCATCGTATCCATGATCAACTCCCCTATCTATAAGCTGGCACGTTTTCTGTCGGATACCTTGCTACCTTTCACTGGAAAGACCTCCTCAGCAGTACTTAACTCGGCCCAATTGGTTTCTATGGTCAAGGACATTGTACTGTCCCCTGACGATATCCTTGTCAGCTTCGATGTGGTCTCCTTGCTCACCAAGGTCCCGGTACCTGATACCATTGATATAATTGAAAATTTGGTACAACATGGACTAAACCCCGAGGTACCTACTCTGGTCAGGCACTGCCTCACCAACACCTACTTTACTTGGAATTGTTCCTTCTACAAGCAAAATGAGGGCACTCCCATGGGTTCCCCTTTGTCACCAGTGATAGCCAATGTTTTCATGGAGAAATTTGAATCGGACGCCATCCAGACTTCCACCCTCAGACCTTCCCTGTGGAAGAGATATGTGGATGACACTTTCGTCATTTGGCCACATGGCCTCCCAGCTCTGAACCTTTTCCTACACCACATCAATTCCAGACATCCCGCCATCGAATTCACCATGGAAGTGGAGAAGGATGGCAGGCTACCATTCTTGGATGTTCTGTTTGAGAGGAGACCTGATGGCTCGTTGGGGCATTCTGTCTACAGGAAACCCACCCACACGGATTCCTACTTGAAGCCTGATTCCCACCACCACCCAGCTCAGAAGAATTATCTCATCAAAACTTTATACCATAGGGCTCATTGCATTTCGGACCAACACCACCTGACCAGTGAATTAAAACATGTTCACCTGGCCCTCAAAAGGAATGGATACTCTGACCGTACCATCCGCCAAGCTGTTTCTCCCTCCATACAGAAACAACCACTTGATACTCCGGTCAAAACCATCACACTACTATATATTGCAGGAGTTACTAAAAAGATTTCCAAAATTCTAAACAAACACAAGATCCAGGTCCGGTTCAATACAGTACACAAAATTCGTGATCTGATCCCATCCGTGAAGGATGTCATTCCTGACTTACAGCACCCCGGGGTTTACAAATTGAGTTGTACCTGCGGTGATTGCTATATCGGGGAGACGAAGCGACATGTCTCTGACCGAATTCGAGAGCACAAGTCAGATTTGAAACACGGCAGAACGAATTCTTCTGCCGTAGCTGATCACTGTTACAACGCTGTGGGTGATCACGATATACTTTTCTCCGATACCAAGGTTCTTTGCAAACCCACGGGTTTTTATCAGAGATTTGTTCACGAGGCAATTCAGATCTACAAACACAGACACAATTTCAACCGAGAAGATGGTTTCAAATTCAGCAACCATTGGAAAGATGTTCTAAATCGAACCAAACATTAAACAAATTTTTCAATGGTACAGTATATTTTTCAAGTAGTGGTACCCCAAACTTTCGCAGCTTAAAATCCCCTTTTCACACCACCAGCATGTGGACGCTGCCGTGCACCCTCGCCAGCCTGCACAGGTCGACCCCCTCCCTACCTTTCATCATGCTAAGTCCGCCTATTTAAATGCAAATTGTTATGCTAATTTCTTTGTCAAGGTACCTTAATTACTCTCACACAGCTTAAAGGACGCGGTCTGAGCTTGGCTGTGTTTCACTCTAGCGCTGTCCTCGAGACAGTCTGGTCCCTTCACCTGATGAAGGCCGCTTGTGTTGTGGCCGAAACGTCGTGATTTTTGTTGTTTTATTGTTTTACCTACGTGACTTTACCGAATAGAACCAAAGAGTATGGATCCTTGCAGTCACGAAAGCTTCAAATCTAGAATGTGCTTGATGTAGTTCATCGTAAAGCAGTCAGGGTGGTTGATGGACCAGCACGCACTGATTCTCTCCAGTCACTGGCTCAAGGCCTCTACTTATCCCTCTTCTACCGCTACTACCATGGCTACTGTTGCCGTGAACCTTACATTGATTCCTTCAACCATGTTGAGGACTCAAACCAGTAACCGTTTCGTCTCATCCACACTGCTGTGTTGAACCGCCACATTGAAGTTAAGTGATGACGTCACCCTGCTGCTCTATATAAAACCGGGAGCAAGTGAGGGCTTTACCATTCTGGCGAATTGCCCGATGATGCTGGAAGTATTTACCAGCGAAACGTCGTACTCAAACTGTAAATGTGGATTCACTCTTCAACACACCGGTGGGCTAAAGTAGTGAATTATTTGTCTTTTGTCAACGTGACACTTTTTTTTTGCTGATTGGCCGTGTCGGGTGGTGGAGGGTTACGACAAATTTATAAATAAACGCGATCTAACCCAAAAACCGTTATTATGAACCTTAACTTACTTCCCTCGACTTTGTAATTCCCTACCATTGTCTTTGTATCCCGATTTTTTAAATAAGTGTAATTCTTAGCTATTGTAAAACATTGACAGGGCTTTTTATTACCGGCCGCTTGACATGTGTTTGCCATTGTGACCGGGGTTGGCAACTGTGTTTAAACGAAATCGCGCGAGTCTTGTTGCGTAACTGGTCGTCTTTATGCGGTGTCACGGAAATGGTGCTCCCTTTAAAGATAATTTGCCCAGGTGGCACTCCCCTGTGAATGGAGGCTCCCTTACATAGACTGGCGAGCCAGCTTATATATATATGTTTTTTTATAATTCTGTCCGACGGCCCCGTTGACCACTGAGACTTTACTCTCCCGCACGAGACGCTTCCATTCAGACAGGCAGGGAGGGTTGGGGGATAACTGGGTTTAAGGTAGGGGTGATAATCTTTAGAGACACTGCCCCTCCGTAGTCGTTCCCCACGCGCGGCGGCTCGGACCCCCCACCCCCATAGCCACTGTTCACGCCCGGCAGACTCGGCTCGTCATGGCCATGCTGCGTGGAGTCGCGTCCGCCTTCCTGTGGCTCGTGCTGCTGGCGAGCGCAGTGAGCATCCTCTGCTACCTCGTCTGCACAAGGTCAGTTAGCCACCACAGTAGTTTTTATTTTATTTTTACGCTAACAGGTTATATCCAGGTAAAGTTGAAGGTTGCGGTACGTTCTCGTTGGGCGGGACATTGATGTACGGCGTCGGGGTGACACAGATAGGTGCGTTCAAAGTTTGAGAGAATTATGCTCCGGTTTGTTTTGCCCTTGCTAGATTATTGAAGGTAGCCAGAGTATAGCATCGAGTGCTTTATTGGTGCTTATACAAAAACATATCACGTTTAACAACAACGTTTACGTTCAAATAAAAAAATATACACTAATGTAAGGGATCGCGTTGGTATTAGTAAAGAGGGAAACAAGATCATTAGTTAATACCACCAATGTATCACAACATACAATAATGGAATGCGAATATAATAGACCAACGTTGTAGCATATGGCACTCGCCATCCACACTAATTGTCACCTTGTTGTTAACTTACTTCCTGTGTCTTTAAATTTAATAGCGAAATTCAACTCGACGTGGGCCACTCAACGCAGGTGAATATCTTCCATAAGGAGTACGAGGAGCAGCACACCCGTTCCAAGGTGCTTCACGGGGACGTTGTCTTCCTGAAGACTCACAAGACGGCGAGCAGCACCTTCCAGAACATCCTGTTCCGCTTCGGCGAGAAGAACAACTTGACGTTCGCCTTCCCGATACAGGGACATCAGTTTTACTATCCGCAGGATTTCATGGCCTCATACGTGGCTATGCCACCGCGTGCCGTCGGTGGCCGCTTCCACATGCTGTGCAGCCACATGCGCTTCCACATGGCCGAAGTTGCGCGCGTGATGAGTGACAACGCCACTTTCCTATCCATCGTGCGCAGCCCAGACACACACTTCGAGTCCGTGTTCCATTACTATGAGAACAATGACCCTGCGTTTATAGCAGCAAAAAACCACAGCGACCGCGTTAATAAAGGCCCCTTCAGGACTTTTCTTGAAAGCGCCGAGACGTTTTATAAACGGAACAGAAAGCGCGGTCCCTTCGGCAGAAACCCCATGGCGTTTGATTTTGGGCTCAACCCCAACGCTGACGTGTCGAGTCGTGAATTCCGCTCCGGCTTAGCGCAACTGGATGTCGCGTTCGACCTGGTCATGATCACCGAGCGCTTTGACGAGTCCGTGATCTTGGCCAAAGAGATTCTGGGCTGGGCGATGGAGGATGTGGTCTACCTATCCAACAACAAGCGTGCCAAGATTCACAACGATAAGCCACTCGAGCGAGAGGACACGCGTCTGACCGAGATGATCCGGCGCTGGAACGCGCTGGACGTGGCTTTGTACGAACACTTCTCGCGTCGCTTTCAGCGCCAGGTGGAGGCGTTCGGAGTGGGGCGAATGCGACGCGAGGTGGACGCCCTGCGCAGGGAGGTGAGCGCCCGCAGAGAGGAGTGCGTGGCGAGCGAGGTGGGGGTGCACGAGATCAAGGAGATGGAGATGATGCCGTACGCGCCGGAGTCGGTGGACATCCTGGGCTTCAACATGAAGAGCGGCCTAGAGCCGCGGACCCGAGAACGGTGTCTCCGGCTGCTGCTGCCAGAGCCTCATTACCATGCGCGGCTCTTCCGGACTCAGCGCCGCTCCTGGATGGAGAAACTACGTTATGGGCGCATTATAAATGCAGGCAGTGTTGCTATGTTATCCAGGTCGCCTACTTTCGCTCTCTCGAGTATTCATGATTGAAATGCTAATCGGCATTTTACTACATTGCACATTCATGTTGATGGATGAGCGTTAATGGGACAAATAAGATTAAATTTTACTTTGGCCAATTCCATTAATCCATGTCTTTCATATGGGAGAAATAAAATAAAAAGTATTGTGCCTCGTTAGCTTAATGGAAAATTTGTATCAACATCGTTGCAATACATCAATGAAATTCACAAATGAAATTGCTTGAAGAACATGTGGGCTTCAGCAGGGACGCAACGCTCGAAAGGACGATATTCGGCGGCCAAAAGTTGTTACGAAGTGGCAGCTAAGGGGAGGAACGCGTGCGGGAGGAAGTCCACCGAGATGGAGCTTTGCAATCGGCTCGTGTGCAAGTGCTCGGCGGATTGACACATTGCGTGCGTGCGGGAGTTGTCAGCGGCCTGGGAAGACCCTCGTCCAGTAATGGATTGAACCTTGGCTTATAATGATTACGAAGTAACAGCGGTGTCTTGGTTGTCTTAAGGTCGTTAGCAACGATCTTAGCGTTGTTTGATGATGCAGCGTGGGTGTCTCAGCGTGAGGTCGGAGTCACCAATTTGGCCCCTAACTTGTTCATCCCATGCAGATCGCGATTCGATCATTTGTCACGATTCCGAGTCGCGACTTTCTTCACGATTCATCTGATTCTGTAGCGCATCTGTAACCAGCCGCCTGAGTCACATGAACCATGTATGTATGTTGAACTTCTTTCGCACCGTACGTAGCCAACCGTGCTCATACAAGGTTCCGGGGAAGGACAACGAACTAACGATGTGCTGTGTGTAAATCGAAAACACACACGGTGCAACGCGCCGCGAAATAATTGTAAAATTCTATTCGCTCACCGACATCGTTCACGTGAATGGTCGTGAGCCGAAGGTCACTTCCACGCCGCGTCGGTTATTGGAGTAGTTTTGACCATACTTCACCACGCTGGTCAGTGCAGGTTGTAGTCAAGGTTACGGTAGGGGACAGGACCGCTATTGATGTTGTTAGCCGTGGCCAGCAAACTCACCTCAATTGGGCGGGTTCAGCGTGCAGCGCGCCGATATTGACACTATACAGCAATACACGTGTGTATGAGTTGTACGTTGTGAATACACAGCTCTATACAATTAGGGATATTTGTCCGCACGTAGCATAACATTGCTGAATACCCAACGCATAGGGGCATTCTATTTTTGTGAACTCTTTCACTATGTTCTTGAAAAAAAAACGTGACTCAAAAGCCAAACGTTCATGTACTGGCATTGGTATGCTTGCAGAGTGCGTGCAGGTATTCTATTGTATTCAAGCGAGTGTGAGGAACAAGGTATCCATAATAGAGATTTTTTGGGTTAGATCGCGTAAATATAAATGTGCCGTTAAACCCGCCACCACCAACCTTACTAATGAACACAGTTAACACAAGTTCATTAGTAAGGTTGGTCACGTAAACAAAACACGCCAATTCGTTACGAGTACAGCACACCGGTGTGTTGGAGAATAAACCCACAACATTTACAATTCGATTAATTACAACAAACATCATCAGGCGACAGCCAGATTTGTGGAGAAATCCTCCTGTTTCGTTCTTAAAAAGAAGGAACAAGGTATACCAAAGCAAGGAATGCGAAACGAACTTTGAGAACAAAGGCGACTTGCAAGTATGCGGCCAGTCTCGATCAACTCGTGTCGATCGAGACTGCGATAACCTGACACGTGCTCAGTGTGGAGGTGTCGCCTAAACGCCACCTACCCTGGGTCAGTGCCACTTGGGGAGGAAGTGGTCGTGGGCGCAGTTGGGGAGAGTGGAGGGGTGGGGTGGCCAGGACCGGCTCGAATATCACTCGCAACTGATGTCAGCAGTTGCTCTTCGTATCTTTTTGTTATTTATATAGCACCTTAAGCGTGGCGCTGATGCAAAGAATTCACGATTTGTACAGCAGAATAGTGTGATGGGATGAGTTGATGATAAGGATGGTAGTAATGTACACAAATATGATGATGCGCGGAATAATGAGTGGTTAATGTTATTCGGAATCATAATGAGATGTTTATTTCCCGAGAAAATCTCACTGAGCTGAGAAGCTCTTTTTCAAGGGGGACTCGGCCTAAAGACAACATTAAGCATTCCGCAATCACAGAATAGAATAAAATGACATTCTCCACTTAAACTTTTGTGATTTCAAGAGGGTCAGATTAAACGAGGATAGAGGTGTGGCAGAATGGAGATGGCCAAGAGACGAATCGTTCATTCCCGAACATGACGACGGGGGTCGATGTCCGGTAGCCAGCTGACGACGCTCGTTGTGTCGCCTGACTGCGCATTGCTCAGAACGAGCGAGACGCACCTAACATTGAACACCTCGTAAAGGTGGCCATTATACGTGTGTGTGTGTGTGCGCACATTACATACGCATATAATTTTGAAATAGTTCACGTTGCCATGCGAAAGAAGAAGGCTGATGTAAGCGGTTGCAAATAATTCAAACTATGGGCGCTAGTAAGACTGTTGTTGTTGTTGTTGTCGTTTTTTTCCTTTTAAGGCAGTTATTGACGAATGTGTTGAAATGTGTATGATTATTCTCGTATTATTCCAGTATTATTATAAACTATAAACTATTTTTATTTTACCAGGTAAGGCCCACTGAGCTATTTCTTTTTCATAAGCGACCTGGAAACAAATAAATAGCTCAACGAAGTGTAATATCATGTGGACATTTATAGCAGCCAAATACTCTGCACGCATGTTTCTAAATGTGGAGGGGAAACCCGAAAGACCCGGGGAGAACATGTAAACTCCAAATATACAGGCGTCAGGGTCGGGATTGAACCCACGACCTCCTGTATACCAGGCGAAGGAGTTAACATCTCGCCACCGTGTGCTTGTGCACCACTATCAACGGCAAAAGCATAACCAAGTCATTTGTTGAAGGTCATTTAGTTCATCGGGCAATGCGCTATCCACTGCGCCACCACTTCCCTCCATGGCAGGTTAAAGACATGATGACAATATTCAATATCATGAGCAATTGTAATCAATCAAAAACCGTGCATTAACTTAGTAATAATTGCGAACAGCAATGTACATGTTTGTTTGAAAAACAAACGCACGTGTAAAATATATATAATCGTCAGGCAACACGATTATGCATCGATTAATCTACTAATATAGTCTTAACATCACATTGAATGCATCGAATCCCGCTTGCTGGAACGCACACACGTGTATATAATTCGAATTTGACAATTCATTGCAGCATGACGTCCTCCCCATTGCCGTGTCGCTCATGGAGGTTTGTTTGACCATACGTCACCACGCTGGTCGGTGCAGGTTGAAGATTGGTGAACAGGAAAGTTGTTGTGGTCAGAAAGCGAACTCAGTTGGCCGGATTTATGGCGCAGTGTGCGAACAGCCCCAAGTACCCCTGATCGATACACGCCAGCGACGGCTCCTTCAGATCTGCTGTATCAGTCACGCTCCGAGAGTGGAAGGGAAATAGCTGTCAATGTTTAATGTTTGGCTGCACAGAATGCATCAAATGGAAACTTCTGGGCACACGCGAACATATGAACATGGACAAACGCAATGCCCTTTCTCGAAGCCGAGGTTCATGGAATGTAATACCTTGATCTATCTCTGATGTTGGGTATGTGCCCTGTGCTGGAGTATTGGGTAAATGTTTACTTGAATATGCAACTTGTAGGCGCGACAGCAGGGTTTATTATAAACTACTAATAATACATTATTTACAACTCTGTCAATCCACTGCGGGATAAAGCCCTCCCCATACCGTATCGATCTTTGGGTTATGATAATCTATAATTCACCAAGCTGATCAGTGCAGATTGACGGAGGGTGGCGACGCTCAGCACTGCCATCTCCTGGTTCAAACATCGCAGCCCCACGCCTACAAGCCCTGGTGGTCGCCCAAGCAAGTACTGTACGAACCATGCTCAATGTTGTTTATCTGCTGAGATCTGACAGGATTGGGTTCATTTTGGGTTGTTTCCTTAGAGGCAAACATACATCAGAGAGAAATAAAATTATCTAAGAGGAGATGTCCACCCTCTGAACTTTTGAGAAGTTCAACATTCCGAGCGTTTGAAAATGCATCCCAAAGATGACAGACAATTCATTAATGTGCTTGGTTACCTGACAAAACATCTTCTTGGAGATTGGTCTCATCATCGTCATTATGATACTGTACAACATATTTGGTGATACTGCGTTGACATACTCACAAGCTAAAGTCAGAACCTCAAAACGTTCGTCAATAACACTGTCGCCTTAAAAGGAAAAATATAATAGATGACGTTTCGGGCAATGGTCCTTCTTCATAGCACATAATAGTAGCCAGTTAAACCTTTTTTGTCGAACTAGGACCCATGAGAACGGGTATTTGTCTAAAAACATCGGGCAGTTCACCAGCATGGGTTCAAACGAGCCTGACTCTGCAGATTGAGACACTGAAGATCGAACCAGGGTCCAGAGTTTGTACACTTGTCATGGATCAACACAACACCTTTAACAGCACAGTGTGCGAACAACTACGCCACTGCTGCCCACTTACATAGACCACCACTGATTGATGAACAGGAACGTCCGTCTGCTCCTCGACAGAACTATTTGCGACGACGTCACGCGAATGCGTCTCGCTCTCAAAGTAAACAAAAAAATCAATGTTATACCGGGAAAGGCCCAGTGAGCTATGTAGTTTTTTTCAGAAGCGACCTGGCCACAAATGATTGCTCAACGAAGTGGCTTATCATGTAGAAATGTACAGCAGCGAAATACTCTCAGTCAGTGTTCTTTACTGATTTTCAGAGGGGGGCCACTTTCGCCAATAAGGCATCAGTGTGAGGGCCGCTACACATTTCAAACCATTGGGGTTGACTTCTTTCGCACCGTACGTAGCCAATCATGATAGTGCCAATCGAAGGAGCATGATGTGGTCTTTCCACATGTGTTCGTTGTGGAGGGCCGCACTAAAGGCCACCAGGGCCCGCCAGTGGCCCGCGGGCCTTACAATGAAGAACACTGCTCGAAATCGTCCATAGACTTCGCTTCGCAGTACGTAAACGACGGTTCGGTTGCCTTCTTGCGAAGAGTTGCAGTGCGGAAGCCCCGCGTTTCACACGGACGAGGTGTTTCTTTGTCCCAGGGTGCGCACCTCCTTGTCCGCATGTGCAGCAGCAGGTGCAACGCAGAACATGCTGCATGCGTTATCCGGATTACAAGACGCCCCGGGGAGTAGAAGACGTACCCCAAGTCTGTGTGTGTGCCCTGCGTCGATGGTGTATTGTTGGAACACGTACGGTCGCGCAAACACATCTACCGGATTATAAGACGCACCCCCCCCACCTCCAACCTTTGCTTATACTTTACAGTATAACAGGGTGGGTCAGGGCGGGAAGTGCGTCTTATAATCTGGAGAATAATGAACACGCAGGGCATGTGATGGTTGTGCCCTTTCTCCCGCACGATGTGATGGACCACGACGATCCGGGTCGCGATCAGACTCAATGATCGATTAATTATTTGTTGTCTCGTTTTGTAATCATCTGTGGTTTTCATCGTTTCCACGTGTGTTCATTCCGTGAGCCTGTAAGCGTGTCGTGTGCATGTCATCTGCATACGCCGAAAAACACTGTAATCGAGTGCCCAGGCGCAAATTCAGGCGTGAACACGAGCAACGATTGTGATCGACGCATCGTTCCGTACCCAGTCGTAGTAGCAGTGTCCTGTATCACAAGGGTGTG